CTTCATATTGTCATATGATTCTTTCATGTGAACTGCATACCCTACAGGAAGAGATGGTAAAATATTTCCAATATGCAATAACACTGCCTTTAAACTCAATGTTGAACTGTCTATAAACAATCTCCATTCTTCTGGGTTATAGTTTATATTTAAAGCCGCCAGTAAGCCGTTAATGTTACTGCAGAAAACCAAGTTATTCTCCATATTGAAAAATGGTTCTAAGTCTTTGTGGCGTTTACGAAAAACACATACCGAAACATCGTCTTCTAACAAGTTCCACTGCTGCAGTCTTGATCCAAGTAACTCTGCCTTACATTTTGGAAGTTCTAAATCTCTTACAAGATCATTTAATTCTGACTGTGTTATTTTGTGCGGTTGGTGGCATGACGTGCTCGGTATAAAATCAGGATCTCTTGACGTTGATGGCATATCTTCTTCCTGACGAATCACTCGATCGCCATGATCTGATTCGCAAGTGTAGGATTCTGGGGGTTTTGGAATAGGATTTTCGTCACTGTGAGGCACAGGTCTCATCGCAGATGGTATGTTTGGGTAGTTAATAACCGATTTTTTTTTCTTGGACATACCTGTGGCTTGTCCAACACAAGGTACCATGCAAATGTAACAATCATTAATATGATTTGTAGGCTCTCTCCAAACTATTGGGACAGCAAAGCGCATAGACCGTTTTTTGCCATTTAACCAGCTCCTCAAACTTGAAGCACATGTATTACAGCAGATGTGGGGTGCCCACTGTTTGTCTTGATCACCTAGTTTACAACCGAAAGCTGATATGCCTTTGTTATTAGTGGAGTAATAGACCGTCTCTGAGACGCAAAAGTCACATCACCACACACGTAACAAAACTGATCTGGATTGTTTACACACTTTCGAGACATCTTGCATGAACGCTGTCAGCCAACTGAGGAAAAAATGGCTAATATAAAACAATATAATGTACACGTATGTATAACGTAACACAATCATGCCGATTACATCATCTTTCCTTGCCGAATATAAAAATGTAGCACGTGCATTCTTGTGAATTACAGTATATTAACACTGTCACAGCAGGAACACATATAATCACCGTATCTCTAAAACTTGAACTAATATTGAAAAAATAAGTTTCATTCCGGTTTTAGCACATTAAAAATAGTAATATTTTGTTGATTTTATTTAGGATATTTTTTGGCTGTTGATCAGTGTTATATGCCCATTATTTTATCTTAGTAACGTAATGTATTCAACAGTATATTGGCCACCGGGAGATTTATATTTTTGTAGGCAGGTTGACGTTATAATAGTAATTTTAAATACATTTGGAATCAAAGTACTTAAAGTTCGTCGTTTCAAACTCCTGGAATAGAGTGATTTTGGGCGACTGATGCCATTTGTTATCCTCTAGCTTACGCCACGCAATTGTAGAGTAAACTCATCCAGTCTTATGGTGAGGCTCATGTTCAACCAATTGCCTAATTTTTATTATTTTGTCTAATCAAACATCGTCTGAGGCAACGTTTTTACGCTTTTTGCAGCGGCTTCTGTACCCACCCTTTCCTTACTGGGAGACGAAGAGCCACCGGTCTTCTAAGACAAACTAACTAAGCGGACCACAATCCGAGAAACTTCCACGTAATCTGCTCAGTGGGTGACACATATCGCGCACACTTCCATGTTATCGATCTGCAATGAGAGTTGAAAACAGTTTTTATAGGGCAACAACCACAACAGTGCCGAAATGCCGTGTTTGTAAGTCGTAAAAGCAACCGTCTTGTGCTCTGATTCCAACGGTTTTACGTGCCGAGCTTCTAGCAATCGTCGAGGCTGCCGAAGCTCAAATTGCTTCCATTCCATTTGTCGGTTGTTAACTGGCGAGCATGTTGCTCCTGTATAAGACAATCAATAAAAAAAATCTACAGAAAACTGCCACGTATGCACCTCTAGAAAAACCACTGAAACTTATCACTTGCTACTCCTTTTTATATACTAAGTGACATATAAATCCGAACACCCAGTTTAAATGGTTTTATTTTAATAAAAGTTGGTGAATGTATTTATCTTACTGTAAATAACAAGTGAAAAAATTTTCAGCCTTATCAGTTGGACATTCCGGTTTTTATACTGCTTTTTTTAATTCACTAACGCTCTAAAAATGAATATTTCAGCCGCAGTAAAGAATCAACGTTAGCGGATTTTGGTTCTTGACATCCTTTACGATCGGTTACGATGCCTAGAGTACGGAGACCTGTACGATTTCGTCAACTTAGTGAGTTTGATAGGGGCCGTATAGTGAGTCTTCGGGAAGCTGGACTTTCTTTTCGGGCAATTGCAGTTAGAGTGCAAAGAAATGTAGACACTGTGGTTAGGTGTTGTCAGGCATGGCTTCGAGAAGGCCGTACGCAAAGAGCAAGGGGCACTGGACGCCGCCGTAGAACAACAGACCGTGAAGATCGCCGCCCAAGATTATTGGCCTTAAGGGACCGTTTCTCCACTACCAGGTCCATTGCAAATGAATGGTTTGCAGAACACGGAAGACCTATTGGCATGCGAAGTGTTTTCCGACGAATGAGAAGTTTTGGCTTGTTTTCATACCGGCCACACTGGGTCCTCCCTTTAACTCGAGAACACCGACGTAATCGCCTTGAGAGGTGCAGACAACAGTCACTCTGGGATCAGGAATGGAACAGTATTGTCTTTAGTGACGAGTCTCGATTTTGCTTAGGCATGCACGATGGTCGTGCCAGGGTTAGAAGGCGACGTGGTGAAAGGAGGAATCCACAGTTTTTTGTTGAAAGACATGTTCATCACACTGTTGGAGTTATGGTTTGAGGTGCTATAGCTTATGGTTCCAGGTCACCTTTAATCTTCATCAGAGGTAACATGAACGCGCAGCGTTATATCCACGAAGTTCTAGAACCCCATCTTTTACCCTATCTTGACACCCTGGCAGATCCAACTTTCAAACAAGATAATGCCCGACCGCATGTTGCAAGAGTCACAATAGACTTCTTTCAACATAATGATGTCACATTGTTACCATGGCCACCAAGATCTCCCGACTTATCCCCAATTGAGCACGTGTGGGATATGATGGGTATTAGATTGCTCAATTTGCAACGTCCTCCTCAGACTCTAGAAGCACTTCGAGAGGAGTTGGTGGTTGCCTGGAATGAGATACCACAGGAGGGCATTGACCACCTGATCAGAAGCATGCCTAGGCGCGTTGGAGAATGCGTAGCACATCAGGGTGCATCCACACATTATTAAAGGTCAAAGGGCTTTAAAGCAGTGCAATCATTTTGAAATTTTTATCATTTACTTATTATGCTTCATTAAGTACTTATACAAAATTTTATTAAAATAAAACCATTTAAACTGGGTGTTCGGATTTAGTATATTTGCACACTCGGAACTATCTATACCCCATTCGTAGTCCATTTACGCCCAGACAAAGCAACATGCCCAAAAGCGAGATTGTACAGGTCCGTATTTTCCTCAGTGGTCTTGGAATAATCTTACAAAATAAATGATTATTTTTATAGAAGGAAGTGCACATACTTTTCACAGGTCTTTATTCGCAGGTTCAATTTGAAGCTTTGACCATATTTTCATTCAAAATAATGTCGTTTGATAGGAGCCATTGTTGAATTTCTGACGTTCTTTTTAACATTGCGGGAATTTTTTCTAGTTTTCTAGTGTGATATGCAGTATTATCAAGTACAATGACGGCGAAGCTTTCGGAGCGTTTCTTCAAACCAACGTTCAAATGAACTCCCGCCCATGTCCTGCATTTATCCAGGTTTCATCCAAGTAATAAATCTTCCTGGCCTGGTCGCGGTATTTCTTTATTGATTTTTTCTCCATAAAATAAACTCTTGGCTATCCCTAAAAATACTATTTCTACCCCGTTTTCTGTACTCAAAATTAAGTTCTGTGAGTAAACTATAGAATGTGGTCATTTTGAAAGTAAGTAAGTCTTCATCACTATCAACCTCCTGTAATACTTCGTCTATGGTGGGAAGTTCTTTTGTTTTTTTTTATATTCTTTAACAATGTTGAAAATTTTCTTAGCACATAAGCCTGTTTCTTTTGCCTGAACATCCAAATGTTCCTTCTTGTCACGCTTTCGGGGAAGGGACGTCACTGAAGAGGAAGCATGGCTGAAGGAACCATTGGGAGAAATATTCTCAGTTCCATCTGGTGCATCCCTAGACGACATGCTAACGTATTGTAGCGTTTTTCTGGGTTCTTTTGGGTGTGCATTATAACACTAGATCCCACAAAAAGAAATGCACTAATTTATTTAACTTGATAGATCATTTATATACATCACTATTTATGCCTGACTAATTCTTATGTCGCCATTGGCTGCACTATACTCCACTCCGCTCTGCTCTGGTGTAATCTGTACTCTCTCCTTCCATCTCCCTCCCGCTGATTTATATATAGTCCCAATTGCTGCTTCGAGAAAGGCCCGGTGAGCCACAAAGCGACATCTAAAATATTGGAGGTCACTTCGCGTCGAACTAGAAGGCGACCCACTGTCACGGTCCTCACAGACGCCGCCAAGCGGCTTGTGCGGTCGTGGTTCGCGTAAAAGCAGAGACCGGCCATTAAGCTCTGGCGAGTAGGAGGCTCGCCCAACAGATGGCGCCAACAGAACTATTTGTCACAGTATAAACACACGCTATGGATGCACCGAATATGAACTGCAACTGCCGGCGATACCCCGAGCCTGAGTTCTATCCTGTCGAATCCTGCACTTGCACGTAGTTTCATGGCCAATAGCTATTGCAACGCTTAGGCGGCTGCCGCGCTGCAACTTTGTTGTCCTGGGACGTAAATGGACTACGAATAGGGTATAGGCAGCAAGTTGGCATTTTGTCGGTTTTTTGACGTTTTATAGGTTATTTGCGTAACCCTGCCGATCTTAGAATAATATAATTTGCAATACATTATTCTGATACTATTGCCTAATCGGTTTTTCTTTTGTTTATAGGTCAGAGCGACTGGAAAAATGTACGCTTGTAAGAAGTTGGAAAAAAGAGGATTAAGAAACGGAAAGGAGAAGCTATGGTACTAATAGAAAAACAAATATTACAAAAGATTAATTCAAGGTGAGTTTTTTTTTTTATTAATAATTTGATGTCGGAAGTCTCTTGGTCTTTCAAATGCATGACTAAAGTAGTACACCTGGTGAATTTTGATAATTGGAGCTATAACAGGAAAATCTCAAAATATACTGATTCAGGAGAAATTATTAGGATTTTGTTTGACTTTTTATTAGTTTTTCTTTTTTTACGGGCCAAAAATTACCCTAATCCTCCATATTTCTCTGGCCAATCGAAAGCGCATATGTCGGAAAAATGTTCTTTATTGTAAACAACAGCGACCTTCTTCATTACAATAACTTTGATGATATATTTTATTAATCTGTCTTCCAGGTGTGTTTTCGCTTTCATTTTCATATTCCTATACAGTGTATTACTACAATATCGTGAAAGGTTCTATAACATGCTGATATTGCGCGGCGTCATCATTTCAAATTTTAAGATGTCGCCACGCAAAATCAGCCTAGCCCAGCACCGTATGGGGTAGGCATTCCCGTTACCAAAAAAAGACGTCCAGCTCTCCAAAACGACAAGCGAGAACGAGGTTATCTGTCGTTTCACTTTTTTTTTAATGTACCAGATACGTCACCCTCGACCATCGCCCCGAAGACGCCAAAAGCTCTCCAAAAAAGACACGAAAACCTACCCAGAATTGTTGTCGTAACGCAAGGGTTAATTGTTGTGCAATATTCGACTGAAATGTTGGAAATGCATTGTTTGTGGAGCTGAAACGCGAGAAATAGTACTTCGGCATTTATAGTGAACTATGTCGTTTGTTCTGTAAGAAAATAACAACACATAAAAACACGACAGATAACCTAATGCTCGCTTGTCGTTTTGATTGGTGTCATAAGTGTTATAGCATTACATTTCTAACGGTTTGACACCCGATTGTGAACTGATTCAACGTGCATGTGTTGTCAAAGGACTTGTTTCAAACTGTTTAAAACTCGATGCTACTACAGTATATTCAGATAAGAGATAGACCGGACATAAACAAGACCACGTGATCATCGAACGCTGTAACATTCGGCAGGGACGTATTAAGAGTCACGCAGTACATATTTTAGATAGTACATGCTGCTTTGCGTAACTTTGTAGTAAATTAGCACAATTCGATGTGTATACGATTGGTGATGGATATAGGATCATGTGGGGGTGGGGTAAGAAATATATAATGATGTAAATATACATAAGGGTTTCGCTTCGATTTCCAGCTTCGGATGCCGCCTGATGTTTGGTGAAATACAGTCGAATATAATCTCAAAATGGCGTTTAAATTAGCCTAAATTAAAAATAATCGTATATCTCTTAAAATTGCTTTTAGAATATTGATTAGTATATTTTTTGATTTCTAGGTAAATATGTAACCAAATTAAAACGTTCAAAACGTAAAAAAATGTGCATGGTTGAACATTGTCAGAAAGTAGATTCTTGAATAGGTTTTGCCAAAATGGGTTCAAAAATGTCAATAATTAATTAAAAAATACAGTAGCTTTATAATTACTTATAACTTACCGAATTTGATGAACGACATCTTTTATTGGAAAGATGAGCTTGATGAGCTTTCATCATCGCTACTGCCTGAAGCACCAACGTCAATAATGAATGGCTCGACTTGTTCCTCTAAAATATTGTCCAGTTCCCACATTCTCTTTTCAACTTTGTCTTTCACGTGCTTAATACAGTTTTCCCATTTTTGCGCTGTTATTAATTCTAGTGCTTCTTTGAAAAGTCCTTTGAGGTCACAAAATTTAAAAGTTGTATTGTGCTTAGCTATATAATTTTTAACCTCTGCCCATATGAGCTCAATGGGATTGAGCTCGCAATGGTATGGAGGTAAACGGAGCACAGTTTTATTTTGACTTGCTGCCATTTCGTCAATGGCGTATTTTTGATATTCCGCCTTGTGATCCTTGACAATTCTTAATAATTGTACTTTCAGCATTGCTTCTTCAAAGTTGATATTTTTCGAGCGGAGCCAATTTTGAACATCAACTTTCCTTGAAGCCGTTGTTGGGACCTTCTCCATTCTTCGAGAATGATAAGGCGCATTATCCAACACAATTACTGCGTTTTCCTCTAAGTTCGGTAAAATTTTTGAAAACCACTGTTCAAACGATTCGCCATTCATTTCCTCGTGGTAATCTCCAGTTTTCTTAGACTCAAAGCACCACAGACCGTCAACAACAAATCCATCCTCACTGCCAATATGGCAGATAATGAGCCTTTTACCTTTACCTGGAAATCGAAGTACTAACTGGTGTAGATTTATTTCAATAAGCGAACCTTTTTCAAATGTTTTCATCACATTCAGCGAAAAAACATTGAGACATGAGTATCAGATTGCTATAATTGGGATTATTTAGTCATATTGAAAGAAAGAATATTGAACGTCGTATGATTACTCAGCGCTTCACAATTTAATTTAAAGTTATAAACCTTTAAAAAATGAATGATCAGGAACCTGAAATACGCGCAAATATTAATATTAACAAATTATAACTTTATAAAGCTTAAAGTATGAATTAAAATGATTAGAAATATTAGGAACGGTACACAATATAAAACTTAGTAACTTTTTTAAGTTTATAATATTCGACATATTTTAAGATTATATTAAAAAATTATTGAAATATCGAAAATACATAAAAACATGGCTTAAAAAAGTTCTAACAAATGAAAATGACAATAAAACATCCACGCATTTTATCGAAAGTTATAAAAGTTTCGTTACTTGTAATATGTTTTATCTGCCCCCTGGAATTAATGTTTAGAACCTTGTTCCCAAGGTTTGAAAAACATCCGATTGTTGTCTATTACTCGTATTTACCTGCTGGATTTTTAATCCGGTGGACAGTCCATCTAGAAAGGCCTTCCTGGATGAAGTTACAGAATCATCAACCCATACTTTACTTGTAGTGTGTCCTGCGTTTACCCACGTTTCATCAAGGTAATAAATCTTCCTGTTTTGATTTCTATATTTCCCAATTTTTGTTAAATAATCCCTCCTCCATAGCACAATTTCTTCTCTATCCAGTAGTAAACTATTACGACCCCGTTTTTTCCATTTGAAATTTAAATGCTTCAGTAACGCATGGAAAGTTGATCGTTTGAAATTTGGCAACGTTGTATCTCCATTTACCTCCTGCAGTACTTTATCTATAGTAGGTATTTCATTCCTAAAGAAGAATTCATGCACTTTCCTCCTAATCACATGCTTATCAGCTTCATCCAATGATTTAACAATACTTTTGCGATGTTTACTGGTCATTGGCTCAGAAAAGGTGTGATTTTATTTGTATTGTCTTAACACATTAAACACTGATGCGCGACACACCTCAACTTTGTGAGAAACCTTCACAACAATTTCTTTGACGGTTGATGCCTCGTTCTCCTCGCGCTCGATCTTATATATATTCAAAATGACCTCTTTCATTTCTGCACTCAGGTGTCTTTTTTTAGAGCGTTTCCTAGGTGGACTACAGGAGTTTACAACTTCATCGGCAGTATCTGTACTACTGGGCATTTTGCGCAAGCAGTTGATAACAATAACAATCAATAAAAAGGTATAACAATAACAACGACAAACTCAACAACTTAATAAGATAACAAACGAAAACGTCCAAAGAAATATCAAATTGCAATGATGCACACGACATACGTAACACGTCTGAACCTGAATGTGACTCTGCCTTGATACGACTGCTCTGCCGCTCGGCATAGGCATTTAATTGCGAATTGACCAATGAGGGCTCCTGTTTTACGTCGAGACGGCGGCGTTAGCGTGAAAATCACCCGAACCTTTTGTTTACATCCGGTCTATCTCTTATCTGAATATACTGTAGAACACATTTTTCTTCACTTTCGTTGTGAAGAGGTACGGTTACATTTACAGGGTTTGTCCGGAAAGTAATAGGACTCTTTTTCTTCCGCCATGACTGTACTTCGGAGCGTGCGCGTACCGACTGGATTCGGTAGAGGGCGTTCCTAGCTAACGAATGAGCGGCTGGTCAGTTGTCTCCGAGTGCTTGGAGAGTCAGGACAGGCATTTTCGCGCGACTTGTTTCTGTGAATGGTGCAAGCCGAAAATGCAGCGTTCGTTAGAGCAGAGGTACGCGATTATATTCTGTGTAAAACTCGGTAAATCTGCGACAGAGGCTCAATAAATTTTTTCATTACTTTCCGGTCAAACCCTGTATGTAATGTTCTTTTTTTTTCGGAGCACTATACCTATGATTGTTCCATCATCACTCGAATCGATATCTGCGATCCAATCGGGTTCTGGACTTGAACTTTAAGAATCTCACATGTCTGTGAGGTATACATAATAAAAAACTAGTAAACACAGAATTTTGATAAAAAGAGTTATCTGGCTTCAATCTTTTCAATTGAAACAAACTATTCGAATTTGCGAAAAGACTAAGAAACCAGTTTTCAAACCAAAAATTGATTTGCCAGAACAGCCGATGATCTTTCAAACCGGTCAAAATGAAATCTAATATTTCTTATCAGGTTTGTCGTGAACCTTGCATACGCTTATGAAACAAAGGACGCCCTCTGCCTAGTGCTGACCATCATGAACGGAGGCGACCTAAAGTTCCACATTTACAACATGGGCGGTGATCCCGGCCTAGATATAACAAGGGCTAGATTTTATGCAGCAGAAGTCGTTTGTGGACTTGAACATCTACACCAGCAGGTAAAGTGACGGACACGAAACATACGGACTTTGACCACCGCTCAAAGGTGTCCGCAAATATTTAAGGTGTTCCAATAAAAAAAGGAGTTTTTTGTACCACTAAATTGTGCAACACTCTGTATATTTGCAGGTAATCTGGAGGCACGCCTATAAAATGCTAATCTAAACTGTATCCATCGAAGAAACAAAGTAAAATCAAACATATACACCCGTATTGCACGTGATCAAGAACTTAACCGTAGAAGACGCTACAGGGCCGTATCAAGCTATTGTGACTGATCTATAAAAAAATGTCGTACAAGATATGGTTGCTGTAAATTCTATCAAAAGCATAGTAAATTATCAGGAATATACCACGCCTTTCTAATCATATTTCGACATTAGGAATCAGTGCAAAAAATTCTGTATTCACCATTTCAGCAAAATGTTACTAAAACGCACACGAAAAAAACTTGTGGACCACCTCAATTGAAATTGTTCATATTTTATTATTAACTTACATATATACCCAATAATATTTACAAATCAACCTTCTATTCACAATGCAGAGCAAATTTTTTTGAGCAAATAGAAACTACAGACGTAGTAGTAGTAGTACAAAAGTTTATTACAGACTGCATAAAGTTTGTTAGTTTGATTGCTATTAAAATTTACATGAGAAATAGGAAGAAGGTCAAAATGGCACTATTATGCTTTGGAACTCCTAAATTAACCCTAATTTTGTGTAATTATAAATTTGGAATTTCCACATTAATAACTAGAAACTTACACTTTGATTGCAGTCTATAATGAACTTACCTGGCTTGCCAAAAAGCCCGTAAACTGCCAGTCTTAATGGTATCAATCGATTTATATGCTGTATTCCGAGGAGCTTGAATCATCAGAATTGTTGATGTCAATTATAAGGGGTTCAACTTGGGTGTCAATGATATTGTCCATATCCCACATTTTGGTTTCAACCTTCTCTTGGACATGGTCAATACATGTTCTCCATTTTGCTGGCGTAATTCTATCGACAGAAACATCAAACAGTTTTTTAAGGTCAGAAAACTTAAAAGTGCTGTTATTTGACGCCACGTATTGCTTGATGTCGGCCCAAATCAACTCGATAGGATTCAGTTCGCAGTGATAGGGAGGCAGCCTGAGAATCGTTTTATTTTGGTTTTTGGCCATTTCGTCAACAATTTTTAAATCATATTTATACTTATGTCGCTTGACTATATTTATCAGCTCAGCTTTGACCATTGTTTGGTCGAAGTCGATCTTCTTTGAGACAAGCCACTGTTGAATGTCTGCCTTTTTGGTGGCCATTGTTGGAATTTTTTCCAATTTTCTGGAGTGGTACGGGGCATTATCCATCACAATAATTGCGTTATCATCAAGTGTCGGCAAAATTTTTTTGAACCAATTTTCAAATGAGTTACCATCCATTTCTTCGTGATAGTCTCCAGTTTTTTTGGATTCAAATGCCCACAATGCTTCAGGAACAAATCCATCTACGCTACCTATGTGGCAAATGATCAGGCGTTTTCCCTTGCCTGAAAGTAATTAGTTATTTTACTTCTCAACGAGCGCACTAAATGACGAAATTAAGCAACTTACTCTTTTTAGGTTAGTGTCGGATAGGGTCTTAGATTAGTTTTTGGGTGAAGGAAATACTCAGAAACTTGGATGAGATAGCAAAACTGAGTTCGGAGCTTCCAAATCATTGATTCGATCAGAAAATGAATTATCTGCATCCAAAAAAGTTCATATACTTCGAAACTTACCTGCAGGATTTTTCAATCCCGTCGAAAGGCCATCTAAAAAAGCCTGCCTTGAGGACCTTACAGATCTGTCTACCCAAACATTTCCCTGCGTATGCCCCGCGTTCACCCATGTTTCGTCTAAATAATAAATTTTTCTTCCTTCAGCGCGGAATTGCCTAATTTTTCTAAGGTATTCTCTCCTCCAGATAACAATTTCCTCCTTTTCTATCAATAAACTATTCCTTCCTCTTTTCAAAAATCGAAAGTCTAGTTCTTTCAACAGCTTATGGAACGTAGATCTTTTGAAATTTGGCAGGTCCTCATCATCATTCACTTGCTTCAATATTTTATCTATTGTAGGTATTTCATTCCTGAAGAAAAAGTGATGTACTTTTCTTCTAATGGCACTTTTGTCAAAGTCATCTATTTTTTGGATTATTTTTTTTTCTCGCTGGATATGTTTTTGGCTCAGATAGTGAGTGTTTTTGTCTATATTCCTTCAAGATTTTGTAAACACTTGATCGACCTACTCCAGAAATTTCAGCAACCTTACATACGATATTTTCTATAGCCAATCCACTATTCTCTTGCATCTGGTTCTTGTAGATATTTAGAATAATTTGTTTTTCACCTGCGCTAAGATGAAGCTTTTTAGCCCTTTTGCTGGGTGACGTTAAGCTGATTTCAACCACTTCATCAGCTATGACTAATATTAAATTTCCGCAAGAAAAATCAAGTCAAGACGTGCATAAAACGTTCGCGCTCATAAACGGGTATCCGTAACTGATTACAATCCTGTGCGTGGTGACGAACCATCAACGTGACGCTGAGAGTTCCCTCTACTATGCAGCGTTGCCAGGCTTAATGTCACAATGATCATGTTTTATTGGGAAAATTGTCAGAAATCGCCGAATGTTGAACAGAAACATTACAAGAAGTCTCACCTTGAAATGTGAGGCTACAAATCGATATTCTTATAGGGGGGAAGGGTAGGGAGCTGTTATGGTTCCTATTAACCTTGGTGAAAGTTGGAAACGGTAATATCATATATGGCATACATTCGGTTGAAGGTGTGTGCACGGAAAATAGATTGCGGATAGGATTTTAATAGATAAATCTGCACAAAAAAACACAAAAGGAGATTTTTGTATTTCCCTGAAGAATATCTCAAGGTTATTTCAGATGTACTCATCGAAACTTTATGGAAGGATTATCGAAACCTTATTTTCAATTGCGATAGGGCCACATACCTCGACATCGCATTAATGTGAAAAATAAGACAATAGAAAAAAATTCCCTCACTGATGCTATCTCTTAGGAAAAATTTAACTATAAAGATTGCACAAAAATTTTCTTCACCTTTTTGAGCTTGTTTTCGCATCTCCGTATATGCCGTTCATAATTTGCTGCAGATCAAATTGGAATATACCTTTGTGATGCCATTTATTGTTATATAATGTCGTTTACAACAGTTATTGCACGTATTGCACCAACAGATTGATTTGTGATCCATGCGAATGTGATCAACCACTCTGGCGAAAACTCGCCGAGCGTGGCAACCGTGCGACTTTGTCTGGAGGCTCGTCGCTACAAGCCAATCAGGAAGAGGCCGACAGAGCGCCATGGCTACCGATCACGCGTTGATCACGAATCAACCACTGTTTACGATTACTTTGTAGCTTCGTTAGATACACTTTAGCTGCACAAATCATTTTCGAATATAGTTTTTCTATCTTCAATTTCAGTTGGAACACCCTTTTTTATTATATCTTAAAGTTCCCTATGTACCTTAAAGACGAATTAGTTTCCATAGAATCGTGTAGGCAAGCGTATCCACAGAGGCTATGTTACCAAACTTTAACACCCTGTATCTCAAATGGAAAACATGTCTGGGCTTTGCGCACATTGGAACAATATTGATCAGCACAATATGAGCTATCACTATACGAATTTTCTTTAAATTTGATACGTTTTGTGCGTGGAACTTTTTCATATAAATAGGAAGGACCAAACAAACCAGTTCTCTTCTAGGCCAGTTTTTGACAAATATAAAGGGTGTTCGAAAAATTGACGATGTTTTAGAGGGTGATTCCTTGTTAAAAAATATGAAAAAAGTTTCTATAAACATGGGTCCGAAAATCCAGAGTTTTCAAGATACAGGGTGATGAATTTATCCTTTTTTTATTAATATCTTAAAAACTATTTACACGATTCTGTTGAAATTTGGCAATATTATTTGTTACGTTGAGAGGCTAATTCAGCGATTAATTTATTAATTATTGGTGATTTTTTTAACAAAAATTAATAAAACAGTTTTTTCCATTGACATGAAATGAAACGGATTCTATTTTTTTTCTCGAAAACGGAATGAGGTACAAAAGAATACAAGAGGCAAAGAAGTTGTATTTTTAGATGTTTAATCAAACAACAAATATTAAAGTTACCAAAAGGCAGTAATATTCGCTAAGATGCCCCCCGGGACGCCACTGGACCTAATAATTTTAATCTATTTAGAGCTAAATTAGACTCTTAATACAACAAATAATATTTCCAAATTTCAACAGAACCGTCTAAATAGTTTTTAAGATATTAATAAAAAAAAGTTATATTTTTTTTAAATTCATCACCCTGTATCTTGAAAACTCTGCATTTTCGGACCCATGTTTATAGAAACTTTTTTCACATTTTTTAACAAGGAATCACCTTCTAAAATATCTCCGTCTACTTTTCGAACACCCTCTACAGGGTGACTTTAAAGTTGAGTCATTAATTTTCAGATAATGATTGTAGAAGAAAGATAAACCAAAATATGTGTGCAAAAATAAAAAAAAATGTTACCTTGTTTTATAAAGTATCCTCCCGACAAGTATTTCAGTGCGGACCTGTATTTGATCGTGCGGTCTTGGAGCACCGGCATCCCCTCCCCTGTGAGGTCTTAAGTTACCTGATTCACGAGCCCTTTGTACTACATTAACAAAGGCACGAGGGGTTGGTTGCACTCGATTGGGAAACCGATCCGCATAAACATGTGCCATTTTTTATTTCGTTTGAGCCACGCAACAAACACCACTATTCACTCACACGTTACCGACTAACACTGACTGTATACAACTGAATAAAATAATTGTAAAAACATCGTTCCAAATTCTTTCGCTTTTTTGTTTCCGATGCGGTGAACCGATAAGGCGGATTATATCCGTTGTTGCCAAACACGAGCACATAATATTATTATTGAAAAATGGTAAAGGCAAAAACCTTTCTTTTGATCAGATCTACTCACTGTTAAAATAAATGACTCAACTTCGATGTTACCCTGTATAATCAGCATTACAAAATGAGTTTACATTGATCCTAGACGACTCAGCGGTTACTTGTTGGTGGTTCTTCACCATCATACAGAGTGTTTCAGAATAAGATGGCAATCTCTCGGAGGCATATAAAACATAAAAGAAAGCACCACAAGTTCTTTTTAAAAATATCTTTCGTAGCATGACGGTAGCTACTGAAAATATTTCTTCAAATCACACTGTATAATTCAACGAAATTTTGGAAGTATATTATCCATTTCGAATGGCATGTTATTGTATTCTTCATCTCATAATTGTATCCATATCCATAGGAAACAAATAAGCTATTTATACCCTTAGCGATTATCTAAGTCAACTCAGTGTATCTACGAGGGTTGTCGCCAAAGTGTGGTTTCCAAATTTGTTTCAGGCACAATGAATTTTTTATTTGAAAGTTTGTGACAAATATAAAGGGTGTTCGAAAAATAGACGGAGATGTTTTAGACGGTGATTCCTTGTTAAAAAATATGAAAAAAGTTGCTATTAACGTGGTCCGGAAGTTTTTTGGATACAGGGTGATAAATTAAATAAATTTTTTTATTGGTATCTTAAAAAATATTTACTAGATTCTGTTGAAATTTGGCAATATTATTTGTTGCATTGAGAGGCTAATTTAGCGATTAATTTATTAATTATTGGTGATTTTTTTAACAAAAAATAATGAAACAGTTTTTTCCAATGACATGCAATGAAACGGATTCTATTTTTTTTTTCTCGAAAACGGAATGAAGTACGAAAAAATACAAGAGGCAAAGAAGTTGTATTTTTAGATGCTTAATCAAACAACAAATATTAAAGTTACAAAAAAGACAGTGGTGTACATTTTTTGCCAATAATATTCGCTAAGATGCCCCCCGGGGCGCCACTGGACCTAATAATTTTAATCTATTTAGAGCTAAATTAGGCTCTTAATACAACAAATAATGTTGCCAAATTTCAACAGAACCGACTAAATAGTTTTTAAGATATTAATAAAAAAAAGATATATTTTTTTAAATTCATCACCCTGTATCTTGAAAACTCTGCATTTTCGGACCCATGTTTATAGAAACTTTTTTCACATTTTGAACAAGGAATCACCCTCTAAAATATCTCCATCTATTTTTCGAACACCCTCTACAGGGTGACTTTGAAGTTGAGTCATTAATTTTCAGATAATGATTGTAGAAGAAAGATAAACCAAAATATGTGTGCAAAAATAAAAAAAAATAAAAAAAAAATGTTACCTTGTTTTAGAAAGTAACCTCCCGACAAGTATTTCAGTGCGGACCTGTATTTGATCGTGCGGTCTTGGAGCACCGGCATCCCCTCCCCTGTGAGGCCTTAAGTTACCTGATTCACGAGCCCTTTGTACTACATTAACAAAGGCACGAGGGGTTGGTTGCACTCGATTGGGAAACCGATCCGCATAAACATGTGCCATTTTTTATTTCGTTTGAGCCACGCAACAGACACCACTATTCACTCACGCGTTACCGACTGACACTGACTGTATACAACTGAATAAAATAATTGTAAAAACATCGTTCCAAATTCTTTCGCTTTTTTGTTTCCGATGCGATGAACCGATAAGGCGGATTATATCCGTTGTTGCCAAACACGAGCACATGATATTATTATTGAGACAGGGCGGTACTCAAACTTCCAAAGGGCTATAACTTTGTTACTTTAATTTTACCAGAAAAATGGTAAAGGAAAAAAACATTTCTTTTGATCAGATCTACTCACTGTTAAAATAAATGACTCAACTTCGAAGTTACCCTGTATAATCAGCATTACAAAATGAGTTTGCATTGATCCTAGACGACTCAGCGGTTACTTGTTGGTGGTTCTTCACTTCATCATACAGAGTGTCTCAGAATAAGATGGCAATCTCTCGGAGGCATATAAAACATATAAGAAAGCACCACAAGTTCTTTTTAAAAATATCTTTCGTAGCTTGACGGTAGCTACTGAAAATATTTTTTCAAATCACACTGTATAATTCAACGAAATTTTGGAAGTATATTATCCATTTCGAATGGCATGTTATTGTATTCTTCATCTCATAATTGTATCCATATCCATAGGAAACAAGTAAGCTATTTATACCCTTAGCGATTATCTAAGTCAACTCAGTGTATCTACGAGGGTTGTCTCCAAAGTGTGGTTTCCAAATTTTTTTCAGGCACAAGGAATTTTTTATTTGAAAAAACGAATGTTTCATTGGAAACACTGTTTTTCTAAATAGTCGGAATATTTTCTACACATTTTTTTAGACGTTTCCCATATATTTCACTCAGCTGGCGATGAATTTCTATGGGCGGTAACGTTTTTGCGTGCAAAAATCGGATGATCGCACCTGGCGCTGAAGAGCTCCATTGCGCATGACTGCCAGTCCGAACTGAGCGTCGCCAATAGGCGCTTCTTGTTGGGATCGGTGGTGGGGGAGCCGACAAACGCGACGGTGTTGCCAGATTTCGCCTAGCATCACGCGCGGCAAAGTTGCAGCGTTGGGAACATTATTTTTGAAATAACCCTCATGTATTAGAGGTGTTTTTTTTTATTGTAAAAAAATGGTGTCAATTATATTTCCCAAACCTTCGAACTCACTGGTATATTACAACTGAAGCATATTATTCAACAAATAACCAGTTAAAATTCAACAAGTTAATAATTATATATTTCATTTAAAAAAGAAGAAAGTATTATTAAAAAATTTATTTCAACTTGCACTTGAGTAGATAAAGATGGTATCAATAGTTATTCATTCATTGATATTATTGAATTTTTATTGAATTGTTACATTATTTAACAAATGAAGGGTACAGGCAAATACCAGGGAATGTCCTAATGAACTGATTTTGAGAAAAATGCAATTGAAAGTTTGAAAGTGTTTTATTTTTATTGAGATCAAAGTATGCAGTAACCAAATGAAACATTTTGAAACAAGTAAAAAAATAAGAACAATTCAGTTTTCAGAATCTTTGTTGAATCAAATTTTAGTTTCCTACTGTCTTTTAAACTGTAATGACTCGATCTTCTTTTAAATGAGTTGATATGATTAAAATCTTTTTCTTTAACCTCTGATGCAATTTTTTTACTATTTTCATGCTCTTCTCTTTGATCTACTGTACCTGTTACTTTTATGCTTTTTGTAGATATTCAATCTTTTATTGTTCATATCTTCATTTTTACCCTCATTTTGTGGTGTATGCAGGTGTATGAAAATTAGCCTTATCTTCAAACTTCTGCTTGTTCTTCGTAAATATTTATAAGCCCTGACAAACATATGTTCTGCTCACTGACACTACAAAATGAATTGAAATATTTAATTTTTTTTTTATATATTTTCATTTATATTTTCAAAACTTTTAAACGATTACGCGGTGCAACTTTTTCATAACATCTTCGGTTCTACCAGTTCTCCTTTTTTTTTCTTTGGTAATTTGTTAAGCTCTGATTACTTTTATCATTAACTGAATGAAAAACCAATTCAACTTCAAATTATTATTATAAATTCTCAAAATTACAACTGTCATTTTAGACAATCCTTCTTAGTCATCCCCGTTTCAGCCTTAAACATAAACATTTTAAAGGCTAACGATTGAAATTTTTGAGAAAAAGTACAATTCTCTTTTTTGATAAGCAAAAATGAAAATTCGAAAAAGTAACAAATAAGATAAAAGCAGAGCTGGGAAAGTTTTTTTTTATACAAAATTCTGCACTCCAAATTTCAAAATGGCGGATTGAGGGGTTGCCTAAGTGGACGGTTTTTCTAGACAAAACACCTTCACATCTCAGTAGCCAATTACCAAAACCCCATAATATGTCATATCAATCTTCTTCTTTTGAATCGGTTTATCCAAATGAGCAATAAAATTTGAGGCATTCCATTTAAAAAATCACAACTTTGACATGTAAGTCGAAATTGGGACACCCTGTATAATAGCCAATATTTTGGAAATGTGCTCTCAAATGTCATGTATAACATCCCATAAAAAGATTTTACCAAAATGTATTTGCTTATGAGTAATATTCCGTCCATACGTGGATGGGCCACCCTGTATACAAGGATTAGCTGACAATGGGAAACTAAAAAAATAAAAACGGTAACATTCCCTATCATTTGCCTTCAAATATACAAATTTGTATCAAGTGAATAAAGACATATATTTGTTCGTAAAAAAATCGTAGTGCTAGTGCTTTTAGTTTTGGAGCTAGTATTGGTTTCTATTCCAGGGCATTGTATATAGAGACTGTAAACCTGAAAATATTCTTCTAGACGACACAGGTCACGTGAGGATATCCGATTTAGGATTGGCTGTCGAGATTCCGGAAGGAGAGTCTGTAAGGGGTAGGGTTGGAACAGTAGGATATATGGGTAAGATTTAAATCAGCCTGTCGTATAAGGAATATATATGTATCATCCTTAGATTTAAGATTTAGATTTCGAATCGCATCACTCAGACCCTTTTCAAAATAACGCCTTATAGGACTCACTTGGGAAAGGTCTCTTTTTGCACATAATTCAAATCCATGAAAAAGTCGTTTTAAAACGTTCGTCGACTAGCAAAATAACAATATGTAGATATTTCAAAATTAGTTCACAGATTTTCATAGATTCTACATGTACAGGATGTCCGCAAAGTTAGGGTTTTCGTGGTGAAACGTGAGCGAACAAGTAAAAAAATAAATGAAATTGTACTCACTGTTCAGTTGAATTGAAATTCCAAGTGCGGCTCTGTCGTAAAATCCGTATTTACATCGTAATCGTAAACTGTATGCTGGCGCTGGCGCTGTGGACGTGATCGAGGGATAGGACAGGACCGGCTTCGGGTTAATTGAGTTTGCGGAGTCCAATAGACATTGCTGTATATGCTACTAAGAAAATCCGCTTATTTTCTCAATATCTACACGTCGTGTAAAGGAACACCCCCAACTTTGCGTATATTCTATTCACAATTATTATAAACATTTTTTCTATCTAATAACTGATTGATGTTTGATCTGGGAGTATTGGGTAGCCGCTCTTTATGCTTATTTTTACAGGCATTGGTCCCGTTTCTTTCATTTCATTCGGGATTTCTCTATAAAATACAGGACCGAGATACAGGGTGGCCCAACGAGAACATCGTCCCCCATTTGTGACTCCTGTTATATTGGAAAAAAAACGCTCGGACACGTCAATTTTTATCTCTGGGGGGCGTCTTTTCATCTATAGCCGTAAAATACAGGGTTATCCAAAAATAAGATATTGCCTTACTCTTTAGATTTTCAAACGGAAACCCCCATTTTTTTTTAATTTTTTGACTCTCCACGAAGTTTTTAGTAACTTTCAGCACACTGACGTACCTCTTTATAACAAATTAATTTTTACTTACGTGTAAACTGTGAGATGTTTTTTGTTTTTTCAATACTCGGAGACTTGTTTCTAATTTTAAGTAAAGTCTTGTTGCTATGGGAACTAAACTGCCATGCAAAATTAACCGGACAAACAAAATGTTCTTCAAATTAACTTTTAAGTAACTTTTTAACCTTGGCATCAATTTCGTTAATTTTTTCGCCAAAATGTAGGTAATTTCATTTTCATCATTATCGACTGTAAATCTGCCAAAAAAATTGAAAATGTTTGTTGTTATACAGGGTGTAACTAAAAGGTGCGTTTTGCCCTAAAGTTCTGTACACCCTGTGGAATCATTGGATTACTGAATAATGTGTCTTCATATGAGAATTTTAAGCCTCAACGTTTCTCAACAGTTCTTATTTTGATTCATGACAATATCTCAATTATTGCAGAATATTTGCGGTTTTGAAGAAAATCATGCGAATCCTAGCCATAAACAATTTAATTTAAAAAGTTACAGTGACATGATTTTCTTCAAAACAGTATATATTCTGCAATAATTGAGATATTAACATGAATCAAAAAAGAAGTGTTGAGAAAAGTTGAGGCATAAAAGTCTCACACGAAGACACATTATTGAGTACACCAATGTTTCCACAGTGTGTTCAGAAATTTGGGGCAAAATGCATCTTTTAGTTACACCCTGTATAACAACAAAAATTTACATTTTTTGCAATATCGGCAGTTGATAATGATAACAATGAAATTACCTACATTTTGCCGAGGAAATTAACAAAATTGATTCAAAGGCTAAAAAGTAATTTAATTTTATTATTATAAACTCAAATATCTCCACAACGATTGAAGATAGGTATAAACTTTATTATACAAATGTTACTAAAAAACTCGGGGTTTCCATTCAAAAATCTAAATTGTAACGCAATATCTTATTTTTGGATCACCCTGTATTGTACGGCTATAGATGAAAGTACCTTTTCGTTGGGCCACCCTGTAAATGAGCAAGTTTCCGCGAAACTTTTTCAGGTCAATTTGTTTATTGTATGCCATTTACTTTTATCTTGCTATACTTTTTTTCTTTTAATAATAAACATTATTAACTTTTTTTTTGTTATTATGAGACGACATCTTCAATTCAATTCCACTAAATTGATTATTCAAAGTAAAAATTCAATATAGCTATGATCGTGTTATAATTTAAAACAGCTATTTCGTAATTTTGTTTTGACTCGGGGAATTGGAAAAAAGTCGCAGATTCTGTTTAAAGCAACAAAATGTGAAACGTAATTACTTGAATATCCAATGCATGGAGATCACAACCTTAAAAGGCAATCGATTTACTTGATAACAAAGTTTGTGCGGTTATTTATAAGATTCGTCAAAGGGCTTCCTTCTACCTTCCCGCCTTTCCGCAATCTCCCTAGAGTGACGAAGACTATATTACCACAATGAATAATTTATCGACTGTAAACCAATTTTCACCAACAATGTGTGCCAGACATCGCTCAGTTGGCCGTTGTGTAGTCAAGTACCAGAAATGCGTGGCTACCCAGTTTTCGGGGTGTTCTTGTACTTTTCAGACGTTACACCAGGTCATCCTGATGGGTCTTGACCGATTGACCTCATGTATGAAAATGCAATCTGGTGCATAATCTCGAGCGCGACACGAATCTATTGTCAAAAATGGTCGTTGCTATTTGAATTCACAAACTTGACCTCCAAATGACCTCTGAGGTCATGGTCTAGGTCATATTTGATGTCATTGACAATTTGCTATTATATCCTGCAATTTTTTTCCAAAAAATGCATTGTTACCTAGTTTTTGGGGTCTTCGGATATTTAATAAACATCCTGTATAAAATAGAATCAGGAAAGCCAGAAATTCAGTATTTTGCTTTCAAATTAAATTTTATTGGTAAACGGAGATTTTAGATCATAAAAATACCATCAATTTTTAAGAATTAAAATCGATAAACAATTAAGCTAAATATATGTTTTTTAGCAGTATTGAATAAATGTTTATACCTATTACAATAACGATTGTAAATGGCTAAAAATTTGTGAAAATGAGGGTATCATTGGTGTTGATAAGTGTGCTAAATTTCAGGCGGATCGGTGTAATAGTTTATGTAGAAAGCTAATTGTTTACCCGAGAGACGAATTATTTAAACAACTGTTTTTGCCTTAAATATGGTCCTAGAACATTTTACAAAAGTGAAATGGATTCTTGAAGGTTTCAACTTCAAGAAGTTATGCAAAAAATTGAATGTTTATCACAAAATTGTTGTTAAAAATGATGTTGAAAATAGCCATTTTTATAGTTATATACATTTACAATAACCTCGTTATTTTCAATATAATTTATTTTAACAAGTTGATCTGGATAGGTGGTTAAAAAGCGCATATTTAAAAGAAGAACTTTCTACGACCAATAGCAGTCGAGATATTTTTTTTCTAATTCATAATCCTTTATTTATGAACATTAAGACTCGAATTTTCACAGATTTTAATCAAGGATCTTTATTTTATGATCGAAATATTTGAAGAAATGAGTTATAAAAATATTGAAGAAGAAGTAGAGCGTCCAAATAATAGATTTAGACGGAGAATCAAGATTAATTAAATAATAAAATATAATAAAAAATACATTATATATTATAACACAAGAAATGCAAATAAAATAAATATAAATGAAACACAAACATGAATCATTTTTTTTTTAGTGTACGTTGTTAAGAGTATACCAATTAACTGAATTATGAATTGTTTAAACAATTCTATTGTAAAATATAAATTATTTTATTAGAGTAGAGTAAACATAAATAATTTACGACGTTAAGTTTTCTGGGATTTCCAGGTTTTCCAGAAAAATGACAATGTGCCAGATGTCATTATTTTGACGAGTTACCCCAAATTGAAAAAAGGCCCTACGATTTGAAGGCTCAATTTACAAAAAATAAATCGAGCTAGAGCTGATTCCTCCACTACCTCACTCGGAAATACTTACGCGAGTACCTTCACTTTAGGTGGCTATTTCTTAAACACATTTGAAGTAATAGCAAAATTATAAATTGGATCATAAAATTAAGATACTTGATTAAAATCTGGGGAAATTTCGAGTCTTAATGTTTATTAACAAAGAAGATTTTTTTAATATGCGTTTTTTAACCGCCTATCCAGATCAACTTGTTAAAATAAATTATGTATAAAAATAACGGTAAATGTTTATAACTATAAAAATGGCTATTTTTTAACAACAATTTTAAAATAAATAATTATTTTCTTGCATAACTTCTCAAAGTTCAAACCCTCAAGAATCCATTCCACTTTTGAAAAATGTTGTAGACCATATCTTGTGCAAGAACAATTGTTTTAATAATTCGTCTCTGGGATAAACAATTAGCTTTTTACATAAACAATTGAACCCACCCGGCTGGAATTTAGCACACATATTAACAGCGATTCTGTCCCCAGTCTCACAAATGTTTAGCCATCTACAATTGTTATTGCAATAGTTATGAACATTTATTCAATATTGCTAAAAAGCTTAATTGTTTATAGGTTTTAATTTTTTAAAAATCGAAGGACTTTTATGCCCTAAAATCTCCAGTTTACCGATTATTTATGAAATTTAATTTGAAAATTATACAAGCAAGATACTGAATTTTGAGCTTTTCCCATTGTTTATAAAAAACAACTCATATCTGGTTGCATCTTTTTATGTATTTGTCATTAGAAAGACACCTTTCATATAAAACTTCCAGAAATCTGCTAAGCTTATTCACACGAAATACCGATTATTTTTTTCTCTATAGCCTGGGCTATATTGCACTACTGACTGATCATATTACGTTAATGATATGGTGAATATGGTTTCTATCCCGATTCTGATACTTGACTAAGCATACGTATGACCCTTGTACATCATCTCTATATTTTCAGCACCGGAAGTAATCGACAACGAACGTTACACATTTTCTCCTGATTGGTTCAGTTTTGGCGTGCTGTTATACGAAATGATAGAAGGCCAAGCTCCGTTCAGGGCGCGAAAAGAAAAGGTAGGATACTTCACATGTTAAGCACGTGATTCCTCGACTAGAAATGTAGAGGATATGAAGCAGTGAATACAAGAAGCTTTTCTAAATATCATTAAACACAGGCTAGAAAGTGTGAAATTATAATTTTCTATATTAGTACAAGTAGTTTAAAATTTAGTTATGTTTGCTTATAGACATCATTTTCATCTCAAAAAAAATATATTATAATATCAATTTGCACAAAAGCATTGAATTGATTGGTTTAAATAAACGATTTATTTTATAGGTAGATTGTCAATAATCCTCTTATATTAAAAAAGCTGAATTCCTACAACAAAGTATTTCTAAATTTTCAGTACAAGGTTACAGATTTTTTTTGTATCCATCTACAAATAGGTAAAACGGGAAGAAGTAGATAGACGCGTGAAATTCGATCAGGAAAAGTACTCGAACCGTTTCAGCGAAGATGCAAAGTTGCTGTGCCAACAGCTGCTGGTGAAGTCGCCTAGGGAACGACTTGGAGGAGGCATGGGACGAGCGGGAGCGGTGATGGTGAAACAGCACGCTTTTTTTCAGTCAATCAACTGGAAAAGACTCGAAGCGGGTATGGTGGAACCTCCGTTTGTACCGGACGTGAGTATTTCTATAGCTCGTGTTTGAAATTCCGGGTCCAGAAATCTAATTTCACCAGACCATTATCCTTTTAATTTTAGTATTAAACGTGCATATCAGTAAATGGGATAGAAACATTTTTTTTGTTCATACTATTACCTTTTAATACACCTGCGAATATAATTTCACCGGACTATATCATCTAATCCATTCGATGAACCAATAGGAGTACTCGATATCATCGGTAGATTAAATTCTATAGTCTGGTGAAATTAACCAAGCAAGTTTATTTGGCAGTAGTCGATGTCGTCGAGTGGATTAAAGGTTATAGCGTTGTAAAATTATTTTCCCAAGTTTTTTGGCAAGTACCTCTACTGAAGAAAGTCGGGGGATTAGAGGTTATAGTTCTAGTGAAATTGTCGGAAATCTAGTAGATAAACACCCGAACGGGCGTAGACGTCGTCAGGTGGATTAAAGCTTATAGTCTGGTGAAATTAACCAAGCAAGTTTATTTGGCAATAGTCAATGTCGTTGAGTGGATAAAAGGATATAGCATTGTAAAATTATTTTCCCAAGGTTTTTGGCAAGTACCTCTATTGAAGAAAGTCGGGGGATTAGAGGTTATAGTTCTAGTGAAATTGTCGGAAATCTAGTAGACAAACACCCGAACGGGCGTAGACGTCGTCAGGTGGATTAAAGCTTATAGTCTGGTGAAATTAACCAAACAAGTTTATTTGGCAAACACCTCATTCGGCAGTAGTCGATGTCATCGAGTGGATTAAAGGATATAGCATTGTAAAATTATTTTCCCAAGTTTTTTGGCAAGTACCTCTACTGAAGAAAGTCGGGGGATTAGAGGTTATAATTCTAGTGAAATTGTCGGAAATCTAGTAGACAAACACCCGAACGGGCGTAGACGTCGTCAGATGGATTAAAGCTTATAGTCTGGTGAAATTAACCAAACAAGTTTATTTGGCAAACACCTCATACTGCAGTAGTCGATGTCGTCAAGTGGATTGAAGGATATTGCATGGTACAATTCTTGTCTCAAGTTTTTTGGCAAGTACCTCTAACGAAGAAAGTCGGCGGACTAAAGGTTATAGTTCTAGTAAAATTGTCGGAAATCTAGTAGACAAACACCCGAACGGGCGTAGTTTTCGTCAGGTGGATTAAAGCTTACACTCTAGTGAAATTAACCAAGCAAGTTTATTTGGCAAACACCTCAATCGGCAGTAGTCGATGTCGTCGAGTGGATTAAAGGATATAGCATTGTAAAATTATTTTCCCAAGTTTTTTGGCAAGTACCTCTAATGAAGAAAGTCGGGGGATTAGAGTTTATAATTCTAGTGAAATTGTCGGAAATCTAGTAGACAAACACCCGAACGGGCGTAGACGTCGTCAGGTGGATTAAAGCTTATAGTCTGGTGAAATTAACCAAACAAGTTTATTTGGCAAACACCTCATACTGCAGTAGTCGATGTTGTCGAGTGGATTGAAGGATATTGCATGGTAAAATTATTTTCCTAAGTTTTTTGGCAAGTACCTCTAACGAAAAAAGTCGGGGGATTAAAGGTTAAAATTGTTGGAAATCTAGTAGACAAACACCCGAACGGGCGTAGTTGTCATCAGGTGGATTAAAGCTTACACTCTAGTGAAATTAACCAAGCAAGTTTTCTTGGCACATACCTCGGACGAAGCTAGTCGAAGTCGTCGGGAGGATTAAAGGATATAGTCTGGTGAAATTAACTTCATAAGATCGTATAGCGAATACCTTGAACGGAAGTAATTCATGCCGACGAGTAGATTGAAGATAGAGAATAGTAGTCGGGGCAATAACTTCGCATATGGTGGTAAAAATATTCTGATTCGAATTTTTTGCATAACTTTATTCAAAAAGGGCCTTCTAACGAATCTGCATGTTGCCAGGACCAAATTTGCATCAAAAATTTTTTGAACAATCTTTTTAAACGAATTACAAATACACTGAGCGCGTGGCCAATTAACAATTGAAAATTAAAGGACGCTTTTATGGCCTCCTTGATTTCCATAGTCTTTTCTCTCCTTCAGAAACACAGATGTCTACTGTTCCCTCTCAACGTTAGGGCTCTCCTATTATGAGGCTATGTTTTCTTTTTGAAATGTAGGAAATTTTAAGCTGATATAAGAAATGTTATAAGTCAAAACCATGAACAATTTGATGCAAATAGATATTTGTAACATAACCTCATAATAGAAAACTATGAAAATCAAGGAGGCCATAAAGGAGTCCTGTAGGAACGAATGACGATACGGCCTTGATACAGCGCATTTCCTACCGGCAAGCACAACAGTTGTCACCGAGTGACTTCATGCGCAACGGCGTACGAAATTCGATCATGAAGTAAGGTTATCTTCTCGAGTTATAGTATCCCGCGATTAATCAATTTAGTCTGGTGAAATTACTTCCTTATTTCAATGGATAAGTTCCGTGATGTTCAGAATCGTATAAGTAATGACATATCAGCAAAATATAGATGAAGAAGAGAAGAAAAATTACTGAAATCGGTCAATAAATGACAGAGAAATTAATATTAAATTTTGCGCATTATAGCGCGTGCCGACAGCGTCTGTGCGTTTAGTAATTAGTCTATAGACAATTCATAAGACACACCTGTCCGCTAACTTTTTTGTTTTTAGAGATAAATTAATAATCGTTTCATCATCTTGTTTCATTTTCCTAAAATTTCATTTGAGCTAATAACATTGGCGAAATATCGAACAGGAATAGCCGATGCATCAGACGGATACTACTACGTCGTATCTTTTCATCTAAACATGCGCTTCAAGACCACCCATGTTGTTACCAAATGATAAATTAAAATATTCGTTTCAGCCGCATGCAGTATATGCCAAAGACGTCCTGGACATCGAGCAGTTCTCAACTGTGAAAGGTGTGAACATTGATGACAGTGACTCAACGTTTTATAGTAAATTTAACACGGGTTGTGTTTCGATACCTTGGCAGGCGGAAATGATCGAGACCGATTGCTTCCGCCAGTTGAATGTGTTCGGGCCGAACTATAGCAGGACTCCGGATTTAGTTCTAGAACCAATAGTGATTTCTGAAAATGAAGGCTGTTTCCCGTTCAGGCGGAAGGTAGGCACACTATTTTTTTTTGTCACTATTTTGGAGTATACCAGGAAGATGTTGACAGGTGTTTCGAATTCCACTCTCACCATTGAGACCTCGGAAACGGTAAGAGATAAAATGAAACAAGTGACTGTCTGATAATTTCAAAGCTTACTTAGGAAATTTTGGTTTTTGAAATAACCGAGGTTTGACAAAGTCAATATATGATGAACAGTAGCGGACAAAGGTTGGAAACATGTTTAGTATTTTTTTAAAAGTGCGCTATTTTTTTATTTTTTATTATTGACTATTTTTTTTCTCATATAGTTTGCGTACAGTCTTGAGGATACAAATGGCAATTTGTGTTTGCTGTGGTACCACAGACCAGCATTAAAATACCTTCATAAAGAGACGACAAAAGTATGGAAACATTTTTTATTACAAAATTTAATACAATGCGTGACATCTGCTGCTCATAGAAGACATCAATTTTTTACAAACGTCTGTTATATATATATTTTTCCAAATATTTTTTACATAATCAAATAAATCGTTCCTATTTTGTTATAAATATAATAATTGAGTACTTACCAGCAAAGGCATTTTATTCACTTGGTGAATTTTTTTCTGATAATAGAAACAGCCTGAGTGTTTAGGAATAACGAAAAGTAGTAATGTACTCTATTGTTTTTTTTTTGTTTTAGCTGGATATCTCCTTTGACTTGTACAGATTTAAAAACGATGTCATTGAAAAGAATTTGTTAATGGTGTTATCACCTTCATTTTTAATAATGTTCTATAACTCTAGCTTATTTTACTGTAACTTGTCTGTTACTTTTGAAACAAATAAAAACTATCTAAAAAATATCTATATATATATAACTTGAGACGTGGTCATTGTCGTCTAGACCAGTTAGGTGAAAAATTAAAGCTTCCGCCTTTTGTTGGGTACTTCGACAAAATTTAAGCAAAGAGGACTGTTTATACTTTTTTTAATTCTCTCTAGCTTTCAATGGACTTTGCCATCATCATCAGGAGCTGCAATTACAATGATAACAGTAGCAACAAAAGTGTAAAATGAATTTAAATTGAATCAACTTACAGTAGTATGTGAGGATGTTGCTAATTGTTGTTTTCGTATAGGATGAGGGAAACGTCCAGTAACATGGTGAGAGCTGGATACATGGTACAATGGTTAAAATTATATAAAATATGACAAGACAAGTTAAAGACAGATTAAAAATTATTTAGAAAACATTAGAGCATTACGTCGTGAAGCCACTTGATGATTGCACAAAATGGTGGTCATGGAATAATGAGTGAGATGAACCTTTGACAGAAGGCCGAAGGTTGTCAATGTCTGTGTTAAAAGATGGAACGAATTGTGGGCGTGTGCCAAAACGTTGCCAAATCACTTCAGATGATGTGATTTTCAGAATGTTATGTAAGGAATTGTTAAACCGACCAGAGGCAGTTGAATGAACTATATTTTAATTGATGGGAATTTTAAATTAATAATTATTAATAAATCGTGAGAAGAGAATTATTAGATTCCACCAACAAATTTCATTCCACTCAAAATCTAATAATTCTCTTCTCACGATTTATTAATAATTATTAATTTAAAATTCCCATCAATTAAAATATAGTTTATTCAACTGCCTCTGGTCGGTTTAACAATTTCTTACATAACATTCTGAAAATCATTATCATTGTAATTGCAGCTCCTGATGATGATGGCAAAGTCCATTGAAAGCTAGAGAGAATTAAAAAAAGTATAAAGAGTCCTCTTTGCTTAAATTTTGTCGAAGTACCCAACAAAAGGCGGAAGCTTTAATTTTTCACCTATATATATATATATATATAGTATTCATAGGTAATTGCCTTAACTGTTAGGAGAAGATATCCTTAATTTCTTTGGGTAGTAGTATTGCAAAAGTACACTCTTATAACTTAAACTCAAGCTTTCGAAGATCAATGTCTTCATCATCTGGAGCTGCAAACAATTATTGACAATAGCAAGAATTAACAATTAGGAGGAAAAATAGTTACTTACTAAGTCGGCGAGATTGTTGCTGAAAGTGTTTTTAAACAACAGTGAAGGGAACACATAGTCGACGAATAAAAAAACTGGACTGATGAGGTTCGATTAGGACGGAATTATTTTATTATCAAATGGCAAATCATAGCTATGTTTTTTATTTTTGAAATGGTTTTTTACTTAAACGTTGATTGATTTTGGAAGAAATTTGAAAATTTTAAAACTAACAACTATTAAAAATTACTTCGAGATTTAACATCTTTTTTTTTCCACTCCACCTCCACATTATCCAACGTATGAAGTGTGACATTGAAGTTATTGGAAGGTCATTCGTTGTGTCGTTGCCTATTATGTAGGTAGTTTTGTAATATAGTACAAGATATTGAGCTATTATTGACCGATGAAGTACAAAGTTATTTTCAAAACTTGATAGATGTTGCTTTGGAAAGAGTGTGATGTGGATGTTATCCTACCAAACAACTAGGAAATCTGTAGGGAGTATTCACGCTTGAGGTCAAAAGACTTAGAGCAATTTTGATTTTGGTTTTATTAAGATAGTGAAGAATTTTTATTATGTAGATTGAGCGATTATTGGGAGAGGTCGAAGTTGAGGGAGATATGTTGCTTTTCCAATTTTTCGCAGTTCAGCAAATATGCATAGACGACGCTAAGTTGATTGACATCAGCTTTTTTGTTCATAAAGATACGTGACATTTCCAGAAACAGGCGTTTTGATAGATGATTTTCTCTGTCCTTGATATCATTGTAACTTTCTAGATTCTGTAACACTTTAAATTGCCGCATTGTTTACAAATCCTCACTCACAACAAAAAATAGGAAAATAATGGGCAAAATCTGCAAAAAGAAGGAAAGTGGATACGAGCAGGAAATAGGATAGGTTACCCGAGCGATACGTATTTCTGCTGGTTGGCTTCATCAGGCCCAAAATGAATGCACATATGCAACTACAAAAGTAGATACGCATGCCCATACATCCGGATACGGGTGTATCCTGAGGAAACGAAGATGGAGAGGGAAATTTTTACCCATATGTCCATTCATTTCGGGCCTGATGAAGCCAACCAGCAGAAATACGTATCGCTCGGGTTACCTATCCTATTTTCTGCTCGTATCCACTTTCCTTCTTTTTGCGGATGTTGTCCATTATTTTCCATCTTTTAGTTATATACCTTTCTCCGCATGATAATTTTCTCTATATATTTATACAACTTGAGACGTGGTAATTGTCGTCTAGACCAGTTAGGTGAAAAATTTCGCCTTTTGTTGGGTACTTCGACAAAATTTAAGCAAAGAGGACTCTTTATACTTTTTTTAATTCTCTCTAGCTTTCAATGGACTTTGCCATCATCATCAGGAGCTGCAATTACAATGATAACAGTAGCAACATTCATTTTACACTTTTGTTGCTACTGTTATCATTGTAATTGCAGCTCCTGATGATGATGGCAAAGTCCATTGAAAGCTAGAGAGAATTAAAAAAGTATAAAGAGTCCTCTTTGCTTAATTTTTGTCGAAGTACCCAACAAAAGGCGGAAGCTTTAATTTTTCACATATATATATATATATATATATATATATATATATATATATATGTTTGTGTGTGTGTGTGTGTGTGTGTGTGTGTGTTATAATATCTAATTCTATTTAAAAGTTATTCTTGTCAGTTGTCTTTTAACATGCTCCCAGAGATGTTCTATAGAGTTTAGGTCCGGGGATTGTGAAGGCCATGTAAGAACATTAGTCCCTTACGAATTTTGAGGTATTTGAGGTCATTATCTTGCTGAAATCTCCAACGTGAAGGCATTTCTTTTTCAGCAAAAGGGAGCGTATGTTCACTAAGAATATCTTTGTAAAGTTTTCCCAACAATGTTTAGAATTGAACCCGTTCCAGAACCAGAAAAACAGCCCCAAACCATGATGTTACCTCCACCGTGCTTAACTGTTACCAACTGATACTTTTTGTTGAATCTTTTTCGTATTGGACGTCTCACATATGCCGTACCGTCAGTTAAATTTTTTTTTATCGTTCCATATTCCATTGTTGTTCTGTCCAAGTTAGATCAGTTTTAGCAAATTCAAGCCAAGCAATACGATTTTTTTTTAAAATGAGAGGCTTTTGCACTGGACGCCTACGAAAAATCCCAAAATCCACCTGCACTATTCTTCTACGATTCGTTTGAAAATTTGTGTGGTTGGCATTCGAGGTTCATGGGACAAACGTTTAATGTAGCGATCCATAACATAATCTTTTTTTTTTTCGGTCTTCCGCACCTGGGCCGCGTTCCTGTTGATCCGTATTCTTGATATTTACTAATAATTCCCGAAATCGTCCCTTTGCTCATTTTTAATCATTGAGAAATGTCAGCATTTCTGACACCACTTCTAAATAATTCAATTACCTTGTCTCTTAAGGTGGCACGTCCCTTTTTTAGATTTTTTTTCCAATTTCCTTTTCATCTGATAATTTCATGATCTGTATAGAGGTGATTAAAAACAATGTTGTTTTCATTTTTTGTATTGTCAAAAAATGCATTTTTTGTGCATTTTATTGAGCATTTTTTCTTCAATCGGTACCTGTTAACAAATATAAGTACAGCTCTGAAATTGTGTGTGAATATTCTTCTTTTATGGAAGAATGAAACGAGTGATTATTTTTGTTCTTATCACTTTTCCTATTCGAAAAATCTTTACTTTTTTCGGAAAGACAACTTGCTGAGACGAGGCTTCAAGAAAATCAAAGAGTTTTCGAAACGGAAAAGTGATACGAACAAAAGTAATCACTCATTTCATTCTTCCATAAAAGAGGAATATTCACACACAATTTCAGGGCTGTACTTACATTTGTTAACAAGTTCCGGTTGAAGACAGAACGCACAATAAAATGCACTAAAAATGCATTTTTAGAGAAAAAAAATGAAAACATTGTTTTTAGTCATCTCTTTACACACCATGAAATTATCAGATGAAATGGATTTAGAATACTGCTGCAAACAGGAAGTTGAAAAGAAATATAAAAAGGGACGTGCCACCTTAAATCTTTTGAAAATTATTTTACTTTCGCCATTCTCACTGATATTAATATTTACCGCACGCAATATCAGAGTATCGCAGAACGAATCAACAAAATCTGTGGTATTTAAAAAAAAACATCTTTATATTTTCAGATTATTTGAATATTGATAAGATAAACCTTGTATTAGTACGGGATCCAAAGGTAGACTTTAATATTTATATAACCTGTTCCTTCACAATTTTAAGTTAGGTGTAGATGAAATAGTTCATAATCATGTTAATATTTGTTTCCAAACTTTTGTCCGCTACTGTACATAAGAAAAACTTGGTGATTGAGGACAAGATCTTGAAATTTAGTTATTTATATTTAGAGAAAAGAAAGTGGCATTGTTATTGTGCTTTTTATTTTGAAATCCCTTCATAAAGTCAGCAGGAAAATTTAGTTTTTTTGCAAAATGATAATGGCGAAAGTTTATAAGTGCCATTTTCTTAGAAACCCAAATTCGTAACTTTGATCCCGCTTAAGCGACTTCGTATCTCTTGCAGTTCCCGATGCCCCAACGGTGAGAGTCGAATTTGCAACACACGATAGACGTTCATGTACAGGGTGTCTGCGAATAAAGCAATAAAGAAAAATAGAAAATAAATAAAACTGTAACTTTGACACCCTGTATCTCGCAGACTATCAACTTTTGGAGTGAGATATGTTTAGGTCAATTAACATATTTTGGTCTGTAGTATCTGCTGTTTCGAGATTTCCCAACCGTTCGCAGACTGCCTGTATACAGGGTGGCCAATATATACTAAGTGACATATAATTCCGAACACCCAGTTTAAATGGTTTTATTTTAATAAAAGTTGGTGAATGTATTTATCTTACTGTAAATAACAAGTGAAAAAATGTTCAGCCTTATTGTTGGACATTCCGGTTTTTATACTGCTTTTTTTTAACGCGCTAAAAATGAATATTTCAGCCGCAGTAAAGAATCAACGTTGGCGGATTTTGGTTCTTGACATCCTTTACGATCGGTTACGATGCCTAGAGTACGGAGACCTGTACGATTTCGTCAACTTAGCGAGTTTTATAGGGGCCGTATAGTGGGACTTCGGGAAGCTGGACTTTCTTTTCGGACAATTGCAGTTAGAGTGCAAATAAGTGTAGACACTGGGGTTAGGTGTTGTCAGGCATGGCTTCGAGAAGGCCGTACGCAAAGAGCAAGGGGCACTGGACGCCGCCGTAGAACAACAGACCGTGAAGATCGCCGCCTAAGATTATTGGCCTTAAGGGACCGTTTCTCCACTACCAGGTCCATTGAAAATGAATGGTTTGCAGAACACGGAAGACCGATTGGCATGCGAAGTGTTTACCGATGAATGAGAAGTTTTGGCTTGTTTTCATACCGGCCACACTGGGTCCTCCCTTTAACTAGAGAACACCGACGTAATCGCCTTGAGTGGTGCAGACAACGGTCACTCTGGGATCAGGAATGGAACAGTATTGTCTTTAGTGACGAGTCTCGATTTTGTTTAGGCATGCACGATGGTCGTGCCAGGGTTAGAAGGCGACGTGGTGAAAGGAGGAATAAACAGTTTTTTGTTGAAAGACATGTTCATCACACTGCTGGAGTTATGGTTTGGGGTGCTATAGCTTATGGTTCCAGGTCACCTTTAATCTTCATCAGAGGTAACATGAACGCGCAGCGTTATATCCACGAAGTTCTAGAACCCCATCTTTTACCCTGGCAGATCCAACTTTCCAACAAGATAATGTCCGACCACATGTTGCAAGAGTCACAATAGACCTCTTTCAACATAACGATGTCACATTGTTACCATGGCCACCAAGATCTCCCGACTTATCCCCAATTGAGCACGTGTGGGATATGATGGGTAGGAGATTGCTCAATTTGCAACGTCCTCCTCAGACTCTAGAAACACTTCGAGAGGAGTTGGTGGTTGCCTGGAATGAGATACCACAGGAGGACATTGACCACCTGATCAGAAGCATGCCTAGGCGCGTTGGAGAATGCGTAGCACATCAGGGTGCATCCACACATTATTAAAGGTCAAAGGGCTTTAAGGCAGTGCAATCATTTTGAAATTTTTATCATTTACTTATTATGCTTCATTAAGTACTAATAAAACCATTTAAACTGGGTGTGCGGATTTATATGTCACTTAGTATAACTTCACACATTCCCTTATCTCAGAAACCACCCAGTACGAGTATAACTAAAAATCTTGCAAACAAATGTTTCTTGGCTCATATCAAAGTTTCAATTTATTAAATTTTTGTAAATGTCCAGTTTTGCCAGAATGTTCATCAACATTATTTTTTCAAATAGCATTGGGTTCTACACGTGATTTGAAATACCCTTTGTTATTAAATGTATAAAACATATTCTCCGTTTTCGAGATATATTGCGTTTTATTAATTTTTGGCCAAATACACAACAAAGCGCACATTAGTGCTACACAATTTGATGAGATTATAGAAACAGCGGGTCCTCATTTGAAAAAATTTAATTTTTGTATTTTGATTGTATTAATCCGATTTTTTTAAAAGCGTTCCAAATCTCGTTTATGCACTAGAATGTTCAGAATTTAAACCTGTGTAAGAACTCATTTTCTACACAAAATGGACCCCTCAATTTTCCAAAGTTAACTTTTCGAGTAATCGTTCCACGATATACTCGATAAATTTCCAACGATAATAACCAAAAATTTATTTTCCAGAAAAAGCAGCTGCCGCGAAGTCGACCGATACCGATAAACCCCGCCTACTTACCTCAAACTGGCCCAGACAGATGATAGCAGTGATTTTAACGCAATATAGGTGAAAGCAACAGTCAAACGTATTCGGGTTCAACTAGACTTGTCTGGTTTTGACAGATATTCTGTGTTATTTTACAATTTAAGTTTAAAGTTCAGAAACGAATAGGATTTTCAGCTTGAACTATTTCAATTCAGAAAACTACAGCATCACAAGGTGTGTTCAAAAAATAATAGGAATTTTCGTTTTTTTTTTAAATATTCATTTAATGTTGTCGCCTTCAAAATAGTCCTCATTGGATATGATGCACTTCTCCCAATCATCGAAACGCTTCTCAAACCTGATCTTGGGGATAACGTTTAGCTTTTTCATAGATGCGGTTTTAATGTCATCTATGCTTGTAAAACTACGGCTCATTAAGGTTCTCTTTAATCTTCGAAACAGGAAAAAGTCACACAGTGCCAAGTCTGGCGAATATGGAGGCTGAGGCATCGCTCCAGTATTATTTTTCGCCAAAAAGTCACGAACAAACAATGAAGTGTGAGCCAGAAATTGTTTTTCCACAAAACCGGGCATTTTTTTTTATTGATATACGCACACGTATACGAGGTTTGTCCGAAAAATACGTATAAAAGTGGAATAATAACTTAATTTTACAGATACACTTCCGCCAACGCCGTGTCCACTGTTGATACCAACCAATCCTCACGGCAAGCAACCCTCCTTGCTTTCCGTTCTGGAGTCAAGAGCTTCGTAACGATTTTCGAGCACAATTTTTTCGTTTCAAGTTTTTCTGGCAGAATTTCGTGGACGATTGTTTTGGGGATTGACAGTTGGTCCTTTTTCCTGTCCTTTTTCCAAACACTCAAAAATCTCACGACCATTCTTGTCTAGCTTTACAAGACACTTGATGTTGGTTCGCTCTTCCTCGATCAGAGAGAGCTCCATGCCAACGGCAGGTAAAAAAAGAGCTACTTTCAACAAGCACACTTAAATCCGGTTCGAACTGAGCATAGAGGAGATTGCAGGGAACCACCGGGCCACCCCTCCACAACGCCCCGAATTTTTTATACGTATTTTCCTGACAAACCTCGTACGTACTTTTTATTGACCGTAAAATCATGTTTTACTCTAACAGCCTTTGTTAACATTTCACACACTTTGTTACACTTTATTTCATTTTTACGCAAAATTTGAAAGAATACAATTGTTTGATCCGTTTCTTTTTACAAACTAAAATCGAAGATCTCGTAAAAACGCGTCTGCCTTTAGCGCCAAAGCATTCAATGAAAGTTTCATCATACTTTAGGGTCATAATAAAAAAAATGACAATCCTGCAGAGTTAAAAAATATCCGTTATTTATTTAACACACCTCGTATATCTAAAACACTCGGCAGAAAGATGTTTTGACTATTGAATTTTATCCATCTTCGAATATTAATTCTCGCTTAAAATTGAAAAATTTTAAGGAAACATGCTAACGGTAGCTTGAGCTGACGATCCTATACTATGTGTTTGCTAAGGTGTTTTACTCATTTATATAGAAAGTTTTGACAGGATGCTTTATCTGTGAAAAATATTTTGCCAGTCAGAAGTGCCACCAATATTGTTTATCAATGCTGGCCGTTGATCACAACATAGCGCTTGTGTAGCGATCACTGAAAGCTTTTCAGAAGCAACCTAACCTCTGAATGGTCACATGTCACTTGGTTTGTCAGTTGTCAGCTGTCATCTAGACTCAAACATCGAAAAAAAAAATGGTATAGTTAAAGATTTAAGGAAGTATTGTCAGTCCGTTTTATGGCCTCCTTGGTTTTCATAGTATTTTCTCTCCTTCAGAAAGGCTGAGGTATTTCTAGATTTTTTTTTATTGTGAGTCTATGTTTTCTTGTTGAATTTTAGGAAATGTCTGGCTGATATAACAGATGGTATAAATCAAAAGCATGTACAATTTAATGCAAATAGATATTTGAAACATAACTTCAAAATACTCGTAGAGTACACGGAGCAGTAGAAAACAAGGAGGCCATAAAGGCGTCTACAATTATAGGGACGATGCTTAAACAAAGCTTTATCGTTTTGTAGCATGAAAAGAACACCTGGTAATTTAGTGGCTGAATAGAGGTTGATTTATACTCATCAGTTATATTTCCTTTTTACCTTGTCTGTTCATCGATTTTGAAATGTTCAATCATAATTTTCTGCATCAGCTTTATTTTAACCAAACCTCTACACTGTTTTCAAAGCAAACTCAAAACATTGACTCCCATAAAACAGTATTTGATGTATCACAAAAATAGCGACCGCTTAGCAAGGGTATTATGTAACCTTGAAAAGTAACAGTGTGTAAGAATTTTTTTTATTTCTCAACATAGGCTCCTTGTAATTCTACGGACTTCTCGCAGCGATGCTCCCATCTCTGTAACCGTCCAAATAGTACTATGCAAAATAATTGTTCACGAAGGTGATTTTGCCTCTTCACTTGACGAAAATCTCTGTCCTCGGAGCGCAATTTTCAGATGAGGGCACAGAGAGATGTCGCTTGGGGCTAGAGCTGGTGAGTGAGGCGGATGGTCAAGCAGTTCAAACCGTAACTCGTGGATTTTCGCCGTGGCGACCGCTGAGGATTGAGACGGTGCAGCAGGATTTTTTTTTCTGCAAATGTGGCAGTTTTTCCGCACGCTCTGCCTTCAGCTTGTCAACTAATGATGCGCAGTATGCTCCTGTAATGGTTTTTCCTTTTGAAGATGATCGATTAAAATAAATCCATGACTATCCCAAAAAACGGTCGCCATCACTTTTCCCTCCGAAAAAAAAACAGTTTTTTTTTTTGAGCCGGTTCCCCCTTTTAAGTCCACTGTTTAGACTGTATTTTTGTTTCGGGCGTATAATGGTATGTCCAAGTTTCATCTATCGACATCACCAACAAGGCGCTGAAGCTGCTCTCGCCGAAAGCTCTGACATATGGGGAATAACAAATAAAAGGAAAAGCTTTATCAAAAATTACTTGTTAAGGAAATAACAAATAAAAGGAAAAGCTTTATCAAAAATTACTTGTTAGGGGAATATCAAGTAAGAGGAAAAGCCTTATCAAAAATTACTTGTTAGGGATTATTTGGTGACAACAATCAATGCTCAGAACTCAGCACTTCCCTGCGGAGTAGAAGATTGCTGAGATCATCATGATTCCAAAGAAGGTGGGTTCGATATTTCCTCCGGATTACCGTCCCATTAGTCTGCTGTCAGCTCCTTCTAAGCTCGCCGAAAGGGTGATTTATCGCCATCTTGAGGATTTTTCGTCAAATCACCACGTGATTCCTGACGTTCAATTTTGTTTTCGGTCCGAGCATAGCAGTCAGGCTGGTGGAACATGTAACCAGAGGGTTCACCCTCACCATGAGTACTGGCATCTTGCTTTTGGATGTCTCAAAAGCCTTTAACAAGGTGTGGCATGCGGGCCTGCTTTATAAACTAATCGAAAAGGGTTTTCCTTTTTGGTCTCTAAAATTACTCAAATCCTTTCTTGGAGGAAGGAAGTTTCGGATCAAAATTAACAATGTTTCGTCAACAACACGGCCAGTACGGGTGTTCCTCAGGGTTCGGTCTTAGGAGTAATCATTTATTCGCTTTTTATCCATGATGTCCCTTGCCTCAGCAACTGTGAAGTCTACCTCTATGCTGTCGACACTGGGCGGAACGGTGGCGATTAAAATTAATCATTCGAAAACGCAGGCTATTTATTGTACCAAAAAACGTCGCCGCCCCCCAGCAGAGGTTTCTGTAGACGGCAATCGTATACCATGGACAAATTCTGCCAAGTACCTCGATATCACCCTTGATTAAGGCATGACCTGACAGAAACATTCAGCAGCCTTGAAAACAAAATTTGTTATGTAGATCCTCCAAATTGAGTTAAACAAGGTTCGCCTATATAAAATGATTATTAGACCAGCCATTTCTTATGCATGTGCGGCTTGGTGTTTTCTTGCCAAGCCACACATGCAAAGTCTTCAAGTACTGCAAAGTAGAACTTTGTGAACAATTTGCAACGCTCTATGGTATGTCTCAAAAAGACACTACACAAAAGCCTTGACATTCCTTACCTGAGCGATTATGTCAAGCTTCAGGCGCAGCGACGTTATAGTCAATCGGAATCGCACAGCAACCCTCTGTTTCGCGACTCAGTCGACTACACAGTGGAGCAAGTTCGTAAACATTCAAGGTCACGGCTCGCAGTGTAATAAAAAATCAGCGCGAACTTTTAGTAAACTTAAATTACACTTTAAAAAAACCGAATCGAAATTTGTTTATTTCACCTCAAAAATGATCCGCGTACCAAGTCAAAAAGCCTAAGTGTTTCCTCTTAAACTAAACACATCTGTTTTTATTTGCTCTTCTTTCTTCTTCTCTTTCCCTTTCTGTTTCTCCTTGACTGTCTGGTTTCTGGGCAATCAGTACTGACAGATTCGACTAACGTACATCAGACAGTGACTAATGGGCAAAGGTCCTACGGACCGCACATACAAATGACGAATAGTAGGTAGTTGCAGTTTTTAGACATCCCGAACGTCCATCGCCTCCCAAGCTCTTACGGCCACGTTTAAATTCAGCTGCCCAAAATTTCACTGTGCAGAGTCCCCATACACAGAATCCAACTCATCTTTGATTTGTGTAGTCGTATTGCCTTTCAAAAACAAATATTTAATGACAGGTCGATACTCGATTTGGTCCATTTTCACAAAGACACAACTTACTCAAATGACTGTTACATAACAAGTACGCGTCCAAAATGGCTGAAACTTTGATGAGTAACTGTCAACAGATGAACAACGAAATTCACTATCTTTCGTTTCGGCAACTATATCCTTTGTTATGAAGATCCGCCAAATTGAGTTTGATAAACAAAGTTCGCCTATATAAAATGATTATTAGACCAGCCATTTCTTATGTATGTGCGGCTTGGTGTTTTCTTGCCAAGCCACACATGCAAAGTTTTCAAGTACTGCAAAGTAGAACTTTGTGAACAATTTGCAACGCTCTATGGTATGTCTCAAAAAGACACTACACAGAGACCTTGACATTCCTTACCTGAGCGATTATGTCAAGCTTCAGGCGCAGCGACGTTATAGTCAAGCGGAATCGCACAGCAACCCTCTGTTTCGCGACTCAGTCGACTACACAGTGGAGCAAGTTCGTAAACATTAAAGGCCACGGCTCGCGCTGTAATCAAAAATCAGCGCGAACTTTTAGTAAACTTAAAATTACACTTTAAAAAAACCGAATCAAAATTTGTTTATTTCACCTCAAAAATGATCCGCGTAAGTCAAAAAGCCTAAGTATTTCCTCTTAAACTAAACACATCTGTTTTTATTTGCTCTTCTTTCTTCTTCTCTTTCCCTTTCTGTTTTTCCTTGACTGTCTGGTTTCTGGGCAATCGGTACTGACAGATTCGACTAACGTACATTAGACAGTGACTAATGAGCAAAGGTCCTACGGACCGCGCATACAAATGACGAATAGTAGTAGCAATTAATCGGCGCCAAAACTCGTTGGTCGTTTTTGGTATAACGTTAGCAAATGCGGCACCCAGCGCGCGGACAGCTTTCTCATGCCGAATTGTTGATTTAATATGTGACAAACACGTTCTTTTGACATGTTCATAACCTCTGATATCTCCCTCACTTCAATTCGGCGGCCATCTAGCGCCATTTGATGAACTTTGGCGATGTTTTCGTCGGTAGTTGCAGTTTTTAGACATCCCGAACGTCCATCGCCTCCCAAGCTCTTACGGCCACGTTTAAATTCAGCTGCCCAAAATTTCACTGTGCAGGGTCCCCATACACACAGTCCAACTCATCTTTGATTTGCGTAGTCGTATTGCCTGTCAAAAACAAATATTTAATGACAGCTCGATACTCGATTTGGTCCATTTTCACAAAGACACATCAACTCACTCAAATGACTGTTACATAACAAGTACGCGTCCAAAATGGCTGAAACTTTGACGAGCAACTGTCAACAGATGAACAACGAAATTCACTATCTTCACGTTGAAGTCGGAAACTATTCAGACCACCCTTGTACTGTAATCATCTCCATCCTGTGAATGCTTTGCGAGTGTATTCAGAACTTCGTCCACGATGTTTCCATCAGAGCTGCGTAGCTTTATTTATATCGTACAAAAGTCGTCTCGGGAAACAGACCAAAGCGCTGTAAATTTAGTCAGGAGAAACAAACTCGTGTTTTCGAACTGAATGGCGACAATTATTTACAAACGAAACATGTGACAGTACTTAAAATCACTTGCCAAATGAATAGCGAGTATTTTACTTAAAATTATTTTTCCAGTTTTCGCTGCGATCTTAGCACAAATTAGCTCTATTACTTGAAACGCCACAACTCATACAAGGTCTGTCGAAAAAACATGAACCAACATTTTTTGTTTCGGAAAATCGAATTTATTTTATTCAAAATAGCCACCTTCGAAGTTGATACAGCGATTTGCAGGGACCAAAAGGTTTTCCAATGGTGATTTTAGCTCAATGAAAATGATCGGCGACTACTTTTGGATGGGCTCTACGTCGGCATACCGCTGTCGCTTCATGGCCAAACTGTGAACACACCTTTCTCATGCCCAAATTCTTGTTTGAAATGCGACGTTTGAGCCAGGCAACAAACACCACTATTCACTCACGCGTTACCGACTGACACATTGACTGAATACAACTGAATAAAATTGTAGTAAAATCATCGTGATGAGCGTTTCAAATTCTTTCGCTTTTTTGTTTCCGATGCGATGAACCGATAAGGCGGATTATATCCGTTGTTGCCAAACACGAGCACATAATATTATTATTGAGACAGGGCGGTACTCAAACTTCTAAAGGGCTATAACTTTGTTACCTTTTTTACCAGAAAAATGTTAAAGGAAAAAACATTTCTTTTGATCAGATCTACTCACTGTTGAAACAAATGACTCAACTTCGAAGTATACTAAATAAGCATGTTTATGAAGTGTTTAAAGTTGAAATAGTTATTACCTACATTATTTTTTACATTTTGCCATGTATTATTCAAATGCACCTTAGCAAACACAAACAATTGGGTACTCACCACGGAAATGACTGATCTGCCAAATTTTCAACTTTTAGTGAAGTAATTTCATAATTAGTTTATTATAGACAAAAGGGTTTTTTTCAGAGATTAACAATAATTATTTTCATAATTTAATTTCTTGTTGGACTGTGATATTTGTTCTTATAGTTAGAAACACCGTATGTCCATCTATTTATAAAAAAATTTACGCTGTACATAATGAATACTCAAAATCATACTTTTACATAACAGGAAACTTGCCAGACATATATGTTTGATTTTTATTTAATATGCCTGACTTTTTCTTGGGAGGAGAGGAGTAACCAAGATATTACAAAACTAAATTAGTATTCTGCGGAATATGTATAAAATGGGTGACTTCTGGTGCTTTAATTATGAATGATGAGATGATATTTTTAATACTGAGGTTATGTAGCTCTACTGCATTCATATACAGAACAACTGTGATATATCTTTTCGGCAACAAACTTATTTAGTTTTGAATGTCTTGAAACGTCCTAAAACCCGAACAGCATCCCATTTTCGTGGGAAAAGTGTTCACAAATATTTCTACGCAAACTTCTAGACGGGGTTAAAATA